GGGCTGGGCTGCCTTGAGCCCCTGCTCGGGTGCTGCGAGCGGGGCTGGCTACCGACACCCGTGGGCTACTCGTGAGACAAACCCGCAGGCGTCCAGTAGGCCTCCGTCATGGCAAAAATGTTGGCGTCTGTCGCAAAGGCGGCTTTCAGACAGAAGACTTGCTCCGTTATTTTGCCGCCATCAAAAAACCCAGTGCAAGTGGAGAGGCAGCAACTTCTGAGGGGCGCCTCGAGTCTAACAAGGATGCTTCAAGTCTAAAAGGTTGCTTTCTCTGTACAACTCTCCTGCCCCAACCAGGATTCAGCAGGGAGGGTCATTTGCTATGGAGTGGACTGCGTGGGGATATGGGAGGTTTGCTGATGCTTGAATCTTTGAATCCAGGGCAGCTCTCTTTTGAAAAGACAAGCGCCATCTCAACCCCAAAGGGCCTGGGCTGGCCCGGGAATCTGAGGGGAGAAGTCTCAGCCTTGTGCTGTCCAAAGAGCAGACCAGTTGATCAGAGTGGTTGTTTCTGGCCTTGATGCTGCACAAGGGTGCAAAGGGGAGTTGGCTGAAAATATTAGGGGAATTCACATGTGTGTTCCCCCCACCCCAAACTCACCACTTTGTGTAACTGAAATCATGACACGTGTTATCTTAATGATTGTGTAGCCATGATGGTCCATAATTATGCCAGGATTTCTTAGGGTGACACATTTCCACACGTGAAAGGTGAGGAAGACCCTCATCTCTTTTTGATAGACCGTGATCTCGCCGTGATGAGCTGCTTTTATTCTGCCAATTGTATGCCTGCTACCCTTCAGTGAGCTAAAACAAAAAGGAAGCTGACAAGAAGTGGAAACTTGGACAAACAACTAGGGAGGGGTATAACAGTGTTTCTCAGGCATGCGGGGATGAAAGCAGGAAGGCCAAAGCACTACTGGAGTTTCAGTTGGCAAGGGCCATGAAAGGTAATAAGAAGGGTTTCTACAAGTATGTTAGCAACAAGAGGAAGATCAGGGAAATTGTGGGTCTATTACTAAAACGGGCAGGCAGCCTAGTGACAGACGATGAGGAAAAGGCTGAAGTACTTGATGCCTTTTTCGCCTCAGTCTTCACAGGCAAGGTCAGCTCCCAGACTAGTACACCTGGCAGCACAGTTTTGGAAGGAGGTAAGCAGCCAACTGTGGCAAAAAAACAGGTATGGGGCTAGCTTTTAGAAAAGCTGGGCATGCACAAGTCCATGGGGCTGGATGGGATGCTGAGGGAATTAGCCAATGTGATTGCAGAGCCTCTGGCCATCATCTTTGAAAGCTCATGCTAATTGAAAGAGGTCACAGAAGACTGGAAAAGGGCAAATATAGTGCCCATCTTTAAGAAAGGGAAGAAGGAAGATCCAGAGAACTACAGACCAGTCAGCCTCACCTCAGTCCCTGGAAAAATCATGGAGCAGGTCCTCAAGGAATCCATTTCTAAGAACCTCTGGAGGAGAAGGAGGTGACTAGGAACAGTCGGCATGGATTCACCAAGGGCAAGTCATGCCTGACCAACCTCATTGCCTTCTATGATGAGATGATTGGCTCTGTGGATGTGGGAAGGAGCAGTGGACATGACATACCTTAAACTTTACCAAGCCTTTTGATATCGTCTTCCCCAACATTCTTGCAAGCAACCTAAGGAAGTGTACAGGTTGGTTAAATGATCTGTAAGGTTGATAGAAAACTGGCTAGATCACTAGGCTTAGAGGGTAGTAGTCAATGGCTTTAATGTCTAGTTGGCAGCCAGTATCAAGTGGAGTGTCCCAGGGGTTGGTCCTGGAGCCATTCTTTTTCAATATCTCCATCAATGACCTCAAAGGTGGCATAGAGTGCACGCCCAGGAAGTTTGAAGATGACACCAAACTGGGGGGAGCAGTAGATACACTGGAGGGTAGGGCTAGGATTCAGAGTGACCTCAACAAATTGGAGGATTGGACCAAAATAAATAGTTTGTGGTTCAATAAGGACAGATGCAAAGTTCTGCACGTAGGACTGAACAATCCCATTCACTGATACAGGCTGGGGACCAACTGGCTAAGCAGCAGCTCTGAAGTAAAGGACCTGGGGGTTACAGTGGACAATAAACTGAATATTATCCAGCAGTATGCCCTTGTTGCCAAGAAGGCTAACAGCATACTGGGCTGCATTAGTCGGAGCCTTGCCAGCAGATCAAGGGAAGTGATTCTTCCCTTCTATTCAGCACTGGTGAGGCCGCATTTGGAGTAGCATCCAGTTTTGGGCCCCCCACTACAGAAAGGATGTAGACAAATTGGAGAGTCCAGCAGAGAGCAATGAAAATGGTTAGTGGCCTGGGGCACGTGACTTATGAGGTGTGGCTGAGAGAACTGGCCTTATTTAGTCTAGAGAAGAGAAAACTGAGAGGGGATTTAATAGCAGCCTTCAGCTACCCAAAGTGTGGTACCAAAGAGGATGGAAGTAAGCTGTTCTCAGTGGTGGCAGATTACAGAAAAACGGTCTCAAGTTGCAGCAAAGGAAGTTAAATTAGATATTAAGAAGAGCTTTCTCACTAGGAGGGTGGTAAAGCACTGGAATAGGTTACCCAGAGAGGTGGTGGAATCTCCATCGTTGGAGGTTTTTAAGACCCGGCTAGACAAAACCTTGGCTGGGATGATGTAGTTGGGGACCGTCCTACTTTAAGCAGGGGTTGGACTAGATGACCTCCTGAGGTCCCTTCCAACACTAATTTTCTGTGATTCTACCCCTGGCAATTTCTCTCATCCCTTCCTATAGTTGGTTTTTACAATGGTGTGCTTGGGTTGTGATCTCTTCTGGTCAGATCTGATGAAGAATGCCTTGCTTTTGAAAGCTTGTCCAACTCCACAGTTGGTCCAATAATTGTACAGTTGGTCCAATAAAAGACATCATCCTAAGGAATCCTTGCCTTGCACAATTCATTTTAAGTTCTGTAGAGGGCATTTTCCTGATGCATCTTCCTTTTCTTGGACTTCTTAAATTGGAAAAATTTCAGCTGTTGTGAGGGCAGCCAGGCTGAGATTGAGCAACGGAGCAGTAGTGGTAACTGAAGAGGCTCAGTCAGCACATAGCAGCTGTCACCACCAAACTGCAAGGCACATTCAAATCCCTGTACTTCTAGCTCTGCTCACCAAATGTGCTGCTGAGCATAAAAAGTGCAGTATGGAATTGTCCCTGGCAGCCAGCAAAAGGCAGGCAAGTGTCTACGTGTAATTTCTGGCTGCTGGGAGGCAGCTAAAGTCTTCCAGTCAGTGAAAGTGCCACAGAAGGTGCTTTGAGCATGAACAAATTTGATCTCTAGATTCTCTCTGGAGATGCTTAATAGCAGGAGTAAAAGTTCTGGCTGTGGGGCCAAGACAAAGGTTGGCAAATGCGAGAGGAACTAATTGTTAAAGCAGAAACACAACGTGTGCCTCCCCCTATGCTGTACTCCCAGGCAAATCCCTGCATTCACATGGAAGTAATGTTACATGTTGAGCTCCTTGGGGAACCCAGGCCTAGCTGCATGTGTCTTCTTTCTCTGAGTGTCCAAACTGAGCTGCCCCACCACTGATTTCCAGAAATGCTGAGGACAGACAAGTGCAGCAAAAGTCAGAGGAGAGTTGCTGGGGAGATTCATTAGACTTTGGCATTGTGGTCTGCAGTAATATGCCTAAAACTGGGAATTGGGGGGCTTTGTCTATATGTGGCCCCTCAACTTGCATGTCTGTTCCCTGCCCAGCCCTGCACCTGTTCTCCATCCAGCTCTACGATCAGAGTTGGGCAGGGAACAGAGTCTTCAGACTCTGCCAGTAGGGAGTTCCCTACCCCTGCTCCCTGATCACGGAGGCAGGGCTGGAAGATCCTTATCGCCCCGCCAGCCTTGCAGCTGCGTTGCTGACACTGAAAGATAAGGATATCCCAGACCCCAGCTTCCTGATCTCAGTGGCGAAGCCGGGGTGGGGAGATAAGGAACTCCCAGCTCCTGGTCCCCGATCCTGATCTCAGAGCGGGGCCTGGGAACTCCCTGCTGCTGGGGCAGGGGGACATAGACCCACCCGGGCTCTGGCAGCACAACCTGCCAGGCAGCTCCTGGGGGCAAGGAGCAATCTCCTGCCTCCTACTGTCTGACTGACCAGGAGTACATTGCTCGGCCAGACATCTATGAGCGCTACTGCACAGTAACTACTTGCAAGTAAATTTGCTACTTGCATTTGCAGATAGCAAATTTACTCGCAATTAGAGCAGTTTACTGAGCAGTAAACGTGTACATGTAGACATGCATGATTACTGCGCAGTAAACTGCTCTACTGTACAGTAAAGCGTCTTGTGTAGACAGACCCAGTATCATGCAAGTCCCTTCACTTTCCTTGCTGTTTTCCCATTTATAAAATAAACTATGTATTTACCCGTTCATCTCCTAAAAGTGGTATGGAGATAAAGTAGGGGAAATTGATATAACACAGAAGCAAACAGAACAATGAGTATGAGCATGGCAAATGACATTTTAGTGCTGTGATTTTGTGTGGGGAGCTGAGGGAGTGGGATTAGTGGGAAAGGGTTTGACACTTTTGGTACAACCCAGCTCCCTGGGTATATTTTAGTTAGCACAAATCTCACACTTAATCTGTGAAATGTATTTAATAATATATTTAATAGTATATTCAAGGATTTAGTAGTATATTCTGAAGATAATATTTTGTTTTTATCTGGTTAATAAAAAGCAACTTTATAACACAGTATTCTTGATATATGGTATAGTCACAGAAATACAATTAGTAGCTTTCGTTGTCAGATGACGGCTCAGTTTCTTTCCTGAATTAAAAAAAAAAAGAAATTAAAAGATTTTTTTCAACTACAGGAAAAATTGGATTTTCATGTAAGTAACAATATTTTCTTCCTATTACCTAAATATGAGTATGATTTGGTAGCATCACTATAGGAGGCTATAAACTACCTCTTCCAGTGATGAACTTGTAGCTGTCCATTTAATTTAGGAAGATGCTAAGGTAGAATTAATGCTGTTACTAGAGCTGTGAGTTTAGCTTTATCATCTCTCTACTATATACACAGGGAAAAAGCTCTGCAAGGGCTTTTTTAGAATAAGAGAATAGGAGAGTGATTTCAGAGTCTTCCAAACTTGGGGGCTGAACACTGGAGTAACATATCAACTGCACATGCATACATTTGTTATCTCAGTTACTTGTTATTATAACCCTTAGAGGAAGCTGGTGAGGAAACATGGTGAGGTGCAAAAATGGTGATGGAGCTGAGGGACATGACTTATAAGGAAAGACTGGGGGAACTGGGCTTATTTAGTCTAGAGAAGAGACAACTGAGATGAGACTTAATAGCAGTCCTTAACTACCTAAAGGGGGGTTCGAAAGAGGATGGAGCTAGACTGTTCTCAGTGGTGGCAGATGATATAACAAGGAGCAATGGTCTCAAGTTGCAGCAAGGGAAGTTTAGGTTAGATATTAGGAAGAATTTTCTCACTAGGAGGGTAGTAAAACATGAACAGGTTACCAAGAGAGGTGGTGGAAGATCCATTCTTGGGGTTTGCAAAACCCAGCTAGACAAAGCTTTGGCGGGGGTGGTCCTGCTTTGAGCAGGGGATGGACTAGATGTGACCTCCTGAGGTCCCTTCCAGCCCTAACTTTCTAGGATTCTATGAAACTCATAAAAAATGTTTCTGATTGGTGCTTAGTTGCTTAGAAGGGAAGATGAAAGCCCAGTGCCATAGACCAAGTTATTCCATGCAATGAACATGTTAAAATGACAAACTTAAAATGAAAATGATTTATGCTATTGGGAATGAACCAGAGCCCTGGGTTCTGCCACCTCTACTGTGAGCAGAGGGGAACACAGCTGGGTGGAAACATTTGAAAGACTGCAGCACTAGCAGCTCTATACCACATCCACCATCCCATCTCCCTAATCGTAGGAAAGTGTCTTTGTTCCACTCCCTGGCATTGGGAAAGGAATGTGCAGGGAGATTTGAGCAGTTGGGCTCACTCTTATATTGTTCTCACTCCTAGCCTGTGGGCTCTCTGCACTACACACAAGGAGGGGCACCTAGCCTGATTTTGAGAGCAGGCCCTGGAAGCAGTGCAAAGACACCTAGTTCTGTGCAATCTTAGCCTTATGTAGCTGTCCCAAGGTTGGCAGGCATTCCCAGTGCATTGTGGGACACATTCTAGGATAGTGTGATGTGGAGTCACCAAGAGAAGAGTCGAACTGTATCCTAGTGTCTGTATCCTAGTATCCACTGTATCCTAGTGTCTAAAGAACTAGTGCATTAATGGAAAACAGCGTGCTAAGTTTAGGTTTTGCTAGTATTTAATTTACCTTAAATAAGCCTTGTTGAAAATTTCTTCTTCACCTGAGGAACCTTCATCATATAATTTCCTTGCCATGGATTTTTTATGTACAGCATCCAGTGGCAGATACATATCTCTAAGCCAAAGTGGTTTATCCATATTTGCAAGATTTGGTGCCTTAGAGATCTGAAAAAACACAGCAAACCAAATGATGCCATGCCGTATTGTCAACTAAGTGAGTAAGTACAATTAAGGAACAGGGGCTTTAAATATCCATCTTTTGTTACCATTTCAGGTGTGCTTTTTCTCTGACTGCCTTGTGAGAGTTTCTGAAAGGACCTTGGGGGGAGAAAAGCAAATTATTAATTATAACTAATTTTGGGAAAATGCTGTCTAAGCACTGTCCTGCCTGGTTGCTGCTCTGACAAGAGTCAGCACCTGGTTTGGTTGCTCAAGCTCTTGTGAAGCTTTTGGATTTAATGGATTTTAAGTAAAAGCAAAATATGGGGGCGAAAAGCCTCCATGTGTCTTTGTTCTCAAAGAATTTGCCCCTCAGTACATTTACAAACCAGTATGACCAAGGTTGGGCTACACATGACAACAGGGGCCCTTCCTTACCAGCATAAAGCAGCTATGTCCTTTTAAGTATTGTTGGGACTTAAAAAAGAGGACAGTTGGAACACAACAAAAGATGGGCTATTTGAGCTAAAGGACAATGCTGGCATAAGATCAAATGTGGCTAAATAGGCCACAAATAATTTTTGTCTGGAAATCAAAAGAAAGCTCCTAGCCATCACAGCCATAGGATTCTAGACCCACGTTCCAATTGCCATAGTGAGGGCAAACAACCTCATTAGCTCTACAGAGATATCCTCTGATAATCTGCACAGCTCAGCCAGGGCCTGGGAAAAAAGACATCTCAGTAGCACTATATTCCTTTCTTTTTTGTTTTGTTACACTGGCGTGAGACAGCAGTCAAGCCTGCTTGTTCCCAGCGGCCTTTCATAGATTCATAGACGTTAGGGTCAGAAGGGACCTCAATAGATCATCGAGTCCGACCCCCTGCATAAGCAGGAAAGAGCTCTGGGTCTAGATGACCCCAGCTAGATACTCATCTAACCTCCTCTTGAAGACCCCCAGGGTAGGGGAGAGCACCACCTCCCTTGGGAGCCCGTTCCAGACCCTGGCCACTCTAACTGTGAAGAAGTTCTTCCTAATGTCCAATCTAAATCTGCTCTCTGCTAGCTTGTGGCCATTATTTCTTGTAACCCCCGGGGGCGCCTTGGTGAATAAATACTTATCAATTCCCTTCTGTGCCCCCGTGATGAACTTATAGGCAGCCACAAGGTCGCCTCTCAACCTTCTCTTGCGGAGGCTGAATAGATCCAGTTTCTCTAGTCTCTCCTCGTAGGGTTTGGTCTGTAGGCCCTTAACCATACGAGCGGCCCTTCTCTGGACCCTCTCCAGGTTATCCGCATCCCTCTTGAATTGTGGCACCCAGAATTGCACGCAGTACTCCAACTGCGGTCTGACCAGCGCCCGATAGAGGGGAAGTATCACCTCCTTGGACCTATTCGTCATGCATCTGCTGATGCACGATAAAGTGCCATTGGCTTTTTTGATGGCTTCGTCACACTGCCGACTCATGTTCATCTTGGAGTCGGCAGTGATTTCAGCTGACAGCTAACCTTTTTGTAGTAACCTATATCAACTTGGGATTTATAAGAACTGTGGATTGGCCCAGTGTCTGCTCTAGTAGCAGTGTGTCCTCCTCTGTTGTTGTTACTTACGTGCTTTACAGAAGACTCCTATGCAAACCATGACTTTGTTGCCCTGGTCAGTGCCATGGCAAGGAAATTTGGCACTCGAGGCAAAGCCCGCAGCAGCAGCCCACCCTTGC